AATGCATAAATATAATGTATAGAAGTCACAGACAACATATTTGTCACCATGGTTCAGAAAATAGGTAATAACTAACTGTTACACCTACTTAACCAAAATTGTCTAAAAATAAAATTTAAATATTTACTTCCAAGCAACCGAAGTACATCTCATATAGTTTTTTCTCACCTCTCTGAGACGAAAGTTCTATGATTCGGAGCATTACTCAGCTCATGTGACTTTTCAACTTCGCAGTACTTTGTAACGTATAATGTGAGGAAAGACGGGAAAGAAAGTACAGAACGCTAGTGTTACGGGTTATGGTCTGTTTTTCTAAAGAAGAGCCCTGGGAGGTAGGCCAGACTTTTTGCGGTGTTGTCGCGATCGCGAGACATCTATGGCACTTGTGTCTCTTTCACTATTCGCGTCTTGGCCAATGACGTTCGACCGTCGACGTGCGTCCTCGTCTACGGTCGTCTGTCTCCATCGCACGTATTACAAACTTCTCGAGAAGGACCGCTTTGGAACGCTTCGAATCGCTTCGAATCTGTACACGGACGAAAACTTCGAATCACTTCAAATCTGATTCGAAGCTACAAAAGTCTTGAAAGTCTTGAAAGTCTTGAACGGATTCGAAGTTCCGAGGCGATTCGAAGACTCGAGCGGCTTCGAAGTCTTGAATGGATTCGAAGTCTTGAGCGGATTCGAGTCTTGAACGGTCTTGGAAATCTTAGGAGTTCTCTACGCACAGCCTCTTAGCGAGACGTCTGGGTCGTCGAGTTTGTATATTTTCATGGATAGGCTGTGCGTGATGAATCGACCAAACGCATTGAAGGCACGTCCACTTAGGAGTGCAACCCCCACTGTCTTTCCTAAAAGACATTTTCCTCAAGATTTCCAAGACCGTTCAAGACTCGAATCTGCTCAAGACTTCGAATCCGTTCAAGACTTCGAATCTGGTCAAGACTTCGAATCCGTTCAAGACTTCGAAGCCGCTCGAGACTTCGAATCGCCTCGGAACTTGGAATCCGTTCAAGACTTTCAAGACTTTTGTAGCTTCGAATCAGATTCGAAGCGATTCGAATTTGTCGCTCGAATTCAAGACAGTTTCGAATCGATTCGAAGCGTTCCAAATCCCATCACTAATTACAAACCTCTCGAGAAGGATCTACGTAAAATCTCAAGTAGTGGGGACTGCGTTTGGCACGCGCCCGTCAATCATCCATTGCCTGGAAATGGCGGAGAATGTTGATGAGACGCTGAACGTTTTCACACGTCAAGATTTAAAATACATAAATAAAAAAAAGTTTATTTCCTTTGAAAGAATGTATTGTACCCAAATATTGAAGAACATATTAAAATGGGATTAAATTAATACGTAGATTATTACAGTGGCCGCCTGTTTATTGTATATTTCGGGGCTGTAGAGGGCCAGAATTTCAGGAATTATGCAATAAACGTACGCCAATTACCCGAGCGCTTTCCCCACCACTCTGGTCTACTTCAGTCGTGCTCGCAGCTACATGTAGGGTAGGCTGAATATGCGCATTTTACGGTTACACTAATTATCTCCGTTATTTTGAGAGATATCAGAAAAGTTCATTCACAGAAGTTGTTCAGTATGAAGAGGACTATTACTTAGCCGTAACAAGTTTTTCGTAGGTGGAGTATCTTCTAAGTTTTCAAAGTTAATTATGTTATTTTTAATAATAATATTGAAATATTATGGAATAAAATACTTTTATTACATAAATTGATTCTTCCAAATATTCTGCGTAATAAAGTATTAAGGTATTATGTGAAAAAGGTAATAATTCGTGACATATTTTAGTAGCAAATGTCTAGCTTGGTTAGCATCTTTTACCCAGTACGTCTGATCCGCGAGACAAGAAGCAATCAAATTACCACTAATATTCATTATACCAATATCTATTGCACCAATAAAAACATTATTAAAACAGTATGTACATTATTATAACAGTGTTCCGTTGTAGAGTACGCGCGCGTGTGTGAGAAATACGTGTGAGCAAGGGGCGTGGCTTTCGTGCAGATAACGGTGGCGCGGGAAACGAGTGTCTACTGTACATAGATTATTAAACACTACACGTGGAAATCGCAGGGTAAAGAAAGAAGTTGGATTACGGAGTATCTATCGCACGAAATACACAGCTTGCGTTGGATCCCCTCCAGGCCACGCGCCGAGGCGGGGCCTACCTCCCAGGAATCTTCTTTCGATAAACAGACTATAACACACAAGTTGCACTGATCCTCATACCATTACAGTCGCTTTATCTCCCTTTCTATTTCTCATTTCTCCATAGAGAATTCTGAAATGCAGATATTTCCTTCTTTCAAAAATCTTTGATTTGTCGCTATATTCAATTTTTAACAGTAGGTGATTCTGTAAAAAAAAAACATAAATCGGAAGAAAAGAATAGCATTTCTTTGAGTTACTTACAGAAATGTTATTAATCCCTGTTAAAGTTTTTGTTTTATTTCGTTTTACGTACCCTTATATACCATAGATACACCAAATACTTGGTTAATTAATAACTTTCAGCCTCCTGATAAAACGTAATAGCCATTATTTCTAAAATTAATGTAGAAATAAACATACAACAAAAAAGTTAGAAACATACAAACGATAGAATTTTCCTAACACCCCGTAGGAATAAAAATAGAAATCGTTTGTGTTAAGGGCACTGTTATGTTCCTAATCCAAACATAACAGCCGTTGTTTACCAAAGTAATATGGAAATAAACATAAATAAAACAAAAATGTAAGAGGCATACAGACGATAAAATTCTCCTCAGATCTTGTATTTATTTTCTAACCAAAATGATATATGACAGAAAAATATTTTGATTGTCAGAGAAGCGTCAGGCAGGAGGAGTGCCAACTAACTATCCTTGCGCAGCCACAGCTCGTAACTGCAGGTATGTTGTCTCATATGGCGTGACATATTGCATGAATGTTTTTTTCTGGAAACACTGTAACGTTCTCCGATACCTAGGTATGTTCATTTGCATAGGAATAATAGTTATAATATTCTTCGATGAACAGTTTGTATTTTTCGTTGGAGACATAGAAAAAAAGATTCTGACTGTATTATCATTGACTTATATTACTTAAATTTGGGGAGTAGTACATGGTAAGCAGCAGTACACTGACGTTTATAATAATTAACGTGTTATAAAAAATATTAGGTAGATGAATGTATGATGTGTAATCATAGTTTAGACTTTAGACAAACGAAAATAATGGTTGTTATGTAGTAATGTTTCTTCTCTATGACGAAATATTCGTTAAGATTTTTGTAATAAAACATGTACAGTGGAAGAGAATTTTAAAGAAATTTTAAATGAAACATTATGCCGAATTAACGACTTGACGGACTTTATACATATTCTGTTAATACACTTCTGTTAATTTCGAAGTGTTTTTCGTAAAAGTAGATACAACAACAAAAGAAAATAACAGTTTAAACTTAATATTATGATTCCTTTCCATTATTATAAATGTTCAACATAAAAAATGTAAAAAAAAAATGGGAACACTTTTTAATATTATACTATGAGCAAGAAAACTATGGCCCACTATGGCAAGTAATAATAAAAGTGAGACATTAGAAGGATACATTTAGATCCTCAAACTATTCGTTACAATAACTGCGAACGATGTTTTGCTTGAATTAATGAATTGACATGCAACATTGTTTAAATCCAGTATATTATCCCGCCTCTGTGATTAACAAAACTGACATCAGATGTCAGAGAGTAGTTACGAATACTATTGAGAAAATGGAATGGAAATAATGATATTAAAGATTTTTAACACATTGTATGCGAGCTATCTTGCGCGTTTCACCTGACGACGTGGCACGGGTCACGTTATGTTTGGCGACTTGGATGCGTTAGCAAGGTATTTCAAGAAGTCGCCCCAATTACTAATTCACTGTGATTTTTTAATTTTTTATTTAATCTTTTTTTACTATTCCCTTGATGGCTTTCTCTCAAAATACATTATTTATAAATACCAGATATTTTTTTAAGATTAACAGTAAACAAACGCTAAATATTACATTTTTCGGTTTAAAAATTGGTTTATGAGGTTATATTTTATACAAAACAATATATTTAAAACTTCAGAAATGTTTTATGGTACGGTACCGTTCAATTCCAAATGATATATGAAAGACGTACTACATAATAGGTACTTGTTCCGGAAACTATCGACAGTGTACGAAAAACGTACTACATACGTGCTCCACAAACAATGTGTTAAGTTGAATAATAACTCTTAAATACAAGATTAACAAAATCGTACCTTTTCTATTGATTCACACCAATTTTCAAAACGACATCCCTATGCACTTAAGTAAATGCACTAGTAAATACATAACACAACGAAAGCTTAAATTAAAATCAATGAAGATCCAGAGCTAAAAACTATTTTATTCAACGTATTTCTTTTTTCATTAGTAGACTGCTGATGTTTATACATACATATATAGCATCTCTTAGTTTGGAAAAACGTAATGAGATGAAGATTTTAATTAATTTCAATACTATCTATATATTATTAACGTAGTAAAGTTTCCAGTACAGAATTAACAATTCTGCTCCATTTGAATTGTTAAATATTGGTATTGGAAATTGTGAATTTACATTTCGCAATTATTTATTGTTCACTTATCCGATTAACTTTATTCAAACTAAAATTTTACAAGTGTTTCCACGCTGTTGTCCGAAAGCTCTAGAACGGTCCCTTAAATTTAATAAACATCGTCCGTCATTCTGCACAGTAAGGAGTTCTACGCGTTGCTGCCATATGCAGATTTAATAACTAGCTACCGACTCGCTTCCCAACAATTCTAATTTCATGGGACGAGGCATGAATACGAAGGTATGTAATTCGAGTTTCCAAGTTTCTTGTGTCACGTACTCACGACGTTTCCCCGGCTCCCATCCGTAAATATCTTTCTACATTTCTACGCCGCTGAAATACACCGTTTATGTACCTGTAGCAACACTGCCGGTGGCATGACAGCCAGGCCAACCAATAAATCCGCAGCGGCCAAACTGGATACGAAACAATTAGTCACGGACCTTAGGCGCCTAGTTGTTATTACAGCGGCAATTACTAGGGTGTTTCCTACCTGCGATGCAACAGAAAACACGTGTGACATTTCAGCTGAATCAGTACAGATGAATAGAATGTCTAGTTTTTCATACACATTTCACTACTTTATTACTTTCATCCATTTCGCTTGTTTCATATTAGATTGTTGCCCATGAAATGGCCATTTTAATACCGGCACTTCATATTAAATTGAACATTATGTGAATGTTATTAGTTATTAGTCAACGTATTCTTACACAATTATTGTACTGAATTTGAAGATGACTCTTCGAAAACACTTTCAACTATCACTTTTTCGCTAATTGTACGTATTGTCAACACTAAGGGGGTAGCATACCAAATTGTCAATTGCCGATTTTGATGGAACTGTGTAAGATTGTGGTTCTCATAAAAATATTTGATAAGTATTCTTTTTAGCTGCTCTTGTCCACGTTAGAGTGGTGAAAACAGCCCTCAAAGTTAGGGGTGTGAACTCTATTTAGTCCAATATCTCGGAAACTATTAGAGATAGAAAAACGCTATAACCTGCAATATATGTGCTCCTTTATAAGACATCCAGCTATGTGATTTGATTCCAAAATAATCCATTTGTTTAAACAGTTAATTTAAAAAACAAGCATATTTTGTTAATTTTTCTGGTCAAATGTTAATCGACTTTCTTGTACATTTGTATATGAAAACTACGTACCCAAATATTAAATACGAATAACTTGAAATTTTGATTTTCGCATTATTAAAAAAGGTACAGTATTTCAAATTTTCGCGCATCTTGTTCAAGATGAAATGTTTCAAGACACAGCTTTTTAAATGTTCGAAGCCATTTTGGTTCAACTGTCTGTTTAATAAATGTTTTACAATCGTGAATTGATCGATCATCGCTTGTTCGTTACACCTTACCTATGTAATGTACCTTTTACGCCGACTTACAGCAGTGCGCGTTGCAGGTAACTCTTATAACTGCAGCCTTAATTTTAACCATTTGAGGATCAACCAGCAAAGCATACTGTAATATAATTACGCAAAACTTGAAAAAGTGTACTATCTTTCTCATTATACGAATTCAAGTACTCCATTTTACAGAAAATGCGAAAAAATTTCAGATACAATATTGTTTTTAATAATGCAAACATCAAAACTTCAATTTAACCGTATTTTATATTTGGCAATATAGTTTTTACATACAAATGTACAAGAAAATCAATTAATATTTGAACAGAAATTGTTTAAACAAATGTATTATTCTGGAATTCAATCACATAGTTGGATTTCTTATAAAAAAAACACGCAATATTACAGTTTATACTGTTTTTCTATCTCTAATAGGTTCCGAGAAATTCGACCGAATACAGTTCATAGAGCAGCTAAAAAGATACGTGTCCAATATTTTTTGTGAGAACTACAATCACACAGAATTGCATCAAAATTGGCGATTGTCAATTCGGTATGTTCCCTTGTAAGTAGTACTTTTCGCAGAAATCTAGTTGCATCTTTATGAAAATTATTTATGAATTTGGTTTAAATGTCAATCTTGTAATGCACGCACAGGAAATATGCGAATTTAATTGAGATTAATTCTCTATCTTAATTAACTTTAGAATTTGACACGATTGGTTTCATTTCTATGTTAAATAGTACCTTTAAACGAATAGAGGACGCTGTGTAATTTTGCAATAATGAGAGGAGCGATGTTAACAATTTTCATTCATAAAAGTGACGTCAAATGTGCCTACCAGTAAAATCGGCTATTTCATGTGCAACGACTTAATAGATTAATTAAAGTAAACTTTAATGAAGACGCTTTTATAATCATTTCGTTGAAGATAAAACGCCTGTACTCAACTTTACCAGTTCTGCAATTGACAAATTGTTGTTAGTGACAGTTAATTCTCAGTAAATTTGCGTTTGGAGAATCTCGACTAGCGACCATTGTCAAGAGAACGATGCCAGACAATGAATGTGCAATATATGTACAAGCGAATTGGGTTTGGATGTAAATCATGTTAAATGCGAACTAAATAATAATAGGTTGGGTCGTGACAATTTGAACTGCTTCACTACTTTTGCTTTGAAGTTAACATGTTTCGATTAGTTCTGGGTTAGGTTTATTAACAGAAATTATACTTTACACTGAACTGTGCTATTTACAAGAATATGAATACTGTTTCTTTCTTCTGTCTTTAATTTTCTTTATTTTTGGTAAAGGAAATTAGCCAAACATGAGGTACCATTTTGTTTTCCGAATGTCAACTTAAAAAATCAAACGCAACAAATAAAAACCTTATGGGTATTCAGTCATATATTTACGCTCAATTTCAGAGCAGTTTTATATTTCTAACGTTATGAACAATATCCTATGAATAATCCAGTGCATCAGTGTATGTATTTATATAATAAAAGATTTTCTCGCAACATAATGTGCTAAAAAGGCGTGAAATAAGTTACTGCCAGGGGCAGAAATTCCGATAAGAATAACGTAAAAGACGAGTGAGACAATTACGAAACTCATCAGATAAGTGATCGTGACATGTTTAATCTACCGTGGGCAGTATGGGTCGTTGACGATCCTAGCGAATTCCCATTTTTCCCGAACGTTCCTCCGAATTTTTATTTTTATTGGAAAAAAGCTTTAAACATTTGACCTAGCGAACTATTGTATAATGTAGTAGAGACTTTGATAAATATCCTGGGATTTTTTCAGACTTTTTAAAAACCTGAGAAAGTAAAACAATTAGGTTTGAACATAAACGACCCAGTTTGACTACAGAGTCTGAAAAATTTTTGTTTTTGCCTACGTAGAGTTAAACATGGAAACGAAACCTGCAATACAGAAGAGGAATATGATAAAGAGCAACGAAATAAGCAATATAATAATTATGACTACGTATATTATCGTAATTGATAATTCTCATTATGTTCGTATGTACATGTTCCAATTGTTGATATTGTTACAAATACGTTTTACATGGTTAGACTGCAGATGTTTATACAAATATCGATTTTTACGGGCTATTTTACATGAACCGGAGTCGGAAATTTGTTTTCTTTGTTTACTGTTCCAGTAAGTTCTAAATAAAATAAAAATATCTTTAGACATTATCAAACTCTTAAGTACCTATATTAAATTCTGAAGAACCCTGTATGCTACAAATGCATAAAATCCGCAGTCTATATAAACCAATCATTTGACATAGTGACTCCACAAAACAATAAGTAGAAAAAATTAATAAAGTCACAAAGTTTAACACCAATCAAGTGCTTCTGCACTACAATTTGAAAAAATTCAAAAAGTGAAGTTGGTCACCATGGCCTGTGAATGCTTTGTATCTAGTATACCCATTTCAAGTAAAAAATAACTCATTAGCACATAAATGAAGCGATAACTAGACAGTGGATTTTATGTATTTATAGCATAAAAAGCTATATGGAATAGAATAGAAGACAAACATTTCATCGGGTTTAATATATTTTATATTTTATTCTGAACCCGATAAACTTCCTATTAAAAAGAAAGAAGTTTCCGTTTTTAATTCTGTTTTTGTAAATTATTTCATGAAATTTTATTTTGCATGAAGATCCACAGGCTCGTGATAACTCAAAATATGATCAGGCAGTTTATTATTAGAAAGCGAACATTGAAAATAGTGCAAGTTACTAAACTGTATCAAGCTTTCATGTTGAGTAATACAATGTACTCTAACAAGAAGAGGACCCCAACTTTGGGTTGCCGATTATAATGAAACTTGTAGAACGTGCAGCAATCTTCATCGTCTTTACAAATCGTCCGCCATATAGGGGCAGACACACGAAAGTTTTTAAGTTATTTGTTTTCGAAGTTTTCCGCGTGACTTAAGTACAAGTTACGTTTCCCCATTATTCGCAGGTGTTGTAGCGTCGCCGGGGTAATGTCCACGGGTTCTATCGTGACGGCCAGCATCCAAATACGTCAAAATGATTTTTGGAGGGGACGTGTTTGAACTCTGGTCGTCACGATCGAAACCATGGCCGTTACCCCAACGCTACAACACCTGCGAATAATCGGGCAATATAACTTATGTATTATAAATCACGAAGAAAAAGTTCGAAAACAAATAAAAACTTTCAAGTAAGTATCTGTCTGTATATGTATAGATATGACTCGTAAAGTGGAAGAAACCCACTTCATGTTTTAGAAGTTGGGGCCCTCTACCCTATAGGTATTTATTAAGGGGTCATGCTCAGTCAGGAGGCCGAAAAAAGAGTGTTCTTTGGGAATTTTTTTACCGAAAACTATAAGACCTTTTTCAAAAAATGTGTTTGTGCTTTAAAGATTGCAGTTTCTAAATTATAAGGTAATTTTTTTATTTAAAAATATTTATTAGTAAATAAATGGTGAGCGATCTCCCGGATGTCTCTTCACAAAAAGTGGTCTGCCGTGATCACTGTAACTTCGTAACGGTTCATCTGAAATTAAAAATTCAGTAAGATTTATGTAATGGAAGAACCAATCTTGTCCTTGAACGTGGGGTTTTTCGAAATATTGATTAGGAACAAAGTAGCAAACGTTTTCCTGAAAAAGTGCGATTTTCACCTAAAAAATCACTCGTTTGTGGTCAATTAAAAAAAAAGTATGGAACGAACAAAAGAATCCTTCGTTCAAGGACAAGTTTGTCTGATTTGAAATAAGGCGCAAAAGGCTTCATGTAAATAGACACAGTAGTTTTCGAGAAATATTGATCACCGTTTTGAAAAATGTAGTTTCGAGAAAAACGCGTTTAAAGTTTCAAGTCAAGCTTACACTTATATAATATGTTCATTTTTTAACGCCTGTAACTCTGTCATTTTTAATTGAATTACCATGAAACTTGCACAGAATATTCTCGAGATGTTGTACTTAAAGAAAATGCAGAAAGTGAAAAATCGATTTTTTTGAAAATTTCTGACTGAGCATGACCCCTTAAAGCGTTCAAACAGACACTTTATCTTACGACCTTAGACTACAGACATTAAAGCTCTACGACAACATTAAATCCATTTGCTATATGATTTATTATATTGCCAGTTTTGGAATTTTAGTCTAGAAATGTTTCTTTTTCTGTACTTTTTATCGGTTGATTTCTGTTTGTGAGCTTCCAAAACTTGCCAGGTCAGGACAGTCACCTTCGTAATATGATGTTCGTACAAAATTATAACGATCAAAACATTCAAACTCGTTCTCCCTACAATTCTGATTTTGGAGTCATGCTGTTATTGCAGCAAATGAGCGATACGTATAATTATACCTCACTACAAAATTTACGTATGGATTATAAATTACGTCATTCTCAAATGAACAATGTAAATTCGAACAAAGCTATAAAACTCGCTGCAAAATGGTTGTGGGCAGAAAAAAATCGTAGGAATATGTTTCCTTGAATGCTGAACGCTTTTCAATAAAACGCAAGACGAGTTTGCAAGTCTAAAACTTTTGAATGTTACTGTATATTTGCTGAAACTTTTAGGTTTCCTCAGCTCAATATTTGTATTTTATATTGAATCTTCCGTACCGAGATGAAGAAAATGTAGGAAAATGGATTCCACCTAAATGAACTTTTTTCAAGAATATCAGTCGAAACTTTAATATACCGTTAAATCTTTGGTTTCACGTAAAAATGAAAATACCATTGCAAAAATATCATTCAAATTGAGCTGCTAAACGAATGAAATTGTGTAAAAAGGAAATTGTTAATCACTTGGATTCCTACTTTTTACGAATCGTCGATAACTGACTCATTCTTAAATATATAACAAACACTTCTTAGCAAATTTATACATACGCAGATTTGCTTATTTTAGACTAATTTTTTAAAAATGTCACAAATTACTTATCATTTTTTTTGTAATTCTTCGTTCTTTCTCGCCAATGTGTGATATTTCCTGACATGGAATGGGATACCGTAGTTTTATAGAAAGAAATGAACTATTTTGTTACGTGATGCTCAACAAAATTAAATCGCATCTATCTAGGTAATCTTTTCAAGTTACATAGGCATCCAACTAATTACTAGGTTTCCACTATTTTTTCTTTTTTACTAAACACTCAACAGGGTTCAAATTCAATTCATTCTCTGTAATTGCTAAAAATAGCATTAGACGTGGAAGACTATTTAAGAATACTCCTCAGAAAATTAAATGAAAAATAACGATAAAGATTCTGAAGCTGAATAATAATGGTCAAATATAATAAATAGACTGCGAATGTTCATGTAAACTGACATTTTGTAAAGGAATTCATAAAAAACAGAGCAAGTGTATGAATTTGTTGTTTTTTTTAAGTATCTTATTGGGTTCAGAATCAAATGGGAAACTCGTTACATCTGATGAAAGTTTCATTATCTATTGTATTTAACAGGATTCTATAGGCTATAAATATATAAAATGCACAGTCTTAATAGTATTAATAATGCACATTATGTTGTAGATGAAAGTTAATCGTCTTGAACGCAAGTAAACTTGAAAACGAGGAATCAAATTTTATTTGTGACTCCATTTAATATTAAAGAAAGTCTAATATTAAAAAGGTATTCAAAGTTATTTGGAGGTGTCTTACCATTTTTTTAATGGGACTAAACGATAGGGACCCGACTGCGATACGGGACTGAATGGTTCCGCCGCGCCGTGAGTGGTGGAGCGTGCGTCGCTGGCATGCGTCCGTCGACTCGCAAGCGGCACAATGTGTTTTCATCAATATATGTATTTAGCAAGTGTCTTTTTACCAATGAAGTTATCAAGAATGTTTTTCATCTCAACGTGTTCTTCCCTTTGTCAGTTTTCCAATATTTTTATCATCGTAGCGTAATAGTGGACGCCTAGACCACTCCAACGATCTCAATAGTGTGACCTTCATGTGACCTTGATTACAAAAAATCCCAAAATGTCACAATAGCTCTAATGACGATATTTTCACAACACCAGAAACTCTGAGAGGACGTATTAGAACTGCATGTACTCTGTTCTGTTTCACGAAAGAAGATGCTTGGGAGGTAGGCCCGACTTTTCGCGGTGTTGTCGCGTCATAACACGTCTTCGGCGCTTGGGTCTCTCTCACTCTTCGCGTCTTGGCCAATGACGTTCGACCGTCGACGTGCGTCCTCGTCTACGGTCGTCTGTCTCCATCGCACGTATTACAAACTTCTCGAGAAGGAGCTACCTAAAATCACAAGTAGTGGGGACTGCGTTTGGCACGCGCCCGTCAATCATCCATTGTCTGGAAATGGCGGAGAATGTTGACGAGACGCTGAACGTTTTCACACGTCAAGAGTTAAAATACATGAATAAGAAAAAGTTTATTTCTTTTGAAAGAATGTATTGTACCCAAACATTGAGCAACATATTAAAAAGGGATTAAATTAATACGTAGGTTATTAAACGGTGCACGTGGAAATCGCAGGGTAAAGAAGGAAGTTGGTTTATCGAGCGTCTGAGCGAGAGGCTCTCGTGCCGAAGTGCCGGAGGATGGAAAGAGATACCCAGTAGCATTGAGACCGTGACAACGTCGCACGAAATACGTAGCTCGCGTTGGATCCCCGCCAGGCCACGCGCCGAGGCAGGGCGACCCTCGAGGGCTCTTCTTAAAAAAAACACACCATAGTAAGGAAACTGTAAGGACGAGCAGAGAATCGTTCGTTTATCGTCTACAAAAATTTTGTTACTTTCAGAATTTGTTAAAATAAATTTTCTGCATTAATCCTTCTGTCGTAGTTATCTCATTATTTAAATCTTACTCCCAAACATTTGTGGTCTTTTCGTTCTCAAGGTCACACGAAGGTCACACTATTTAGATAAAAAAATGCAAGGTCACTTTCAATTAACTTTGGGAATTATTAACGAAAAATTGTTTATTTCCATTATTATAATCTACAATAAAAACGATAGAAAAACGTTGTTACTATTTCTTCGTATCATCCACCGTTTGACAGTTATTTCAAACGGCAGAAATTTGTAGACATTGTATATTTCTGACTTCCATTTCAAGCAGATACTTCTATTAAATACTAGACGGTTAACTTATATAAAATGTCCTCAAAAAGCATATAGATTAGAATACCTGTATTATGAAGAGTGTATTAATTATATTATCACATTGTTCCTGCACATGTGCAGACTGGGATACTTTTAGTCGATGCATCTTGAGAACATTAATATAAGCGATATTTCAGGAGTTAGCAGTTATATGTAGTATCTATATAATATAAAAGTCCGTGATTTCAACTAATATCGAATCTGGAGAAAAAACAGTGGATTAGTCATTTGTACACATGCTATACTGTGTTCGACCGGAGCAGCATCTTTGTGGAGGGGCGTGAAATTATAGGCGGTAGAACTAGTGAATGATGGGGCGCCTTTGAATGACCGACGGATCTAATCATTGCTTACTATAGTGACGATGATCAACATGGTGAACAGTCCCGCTAAAACAAGGTCCGTCCAATTCGGCAGGTAATATTCCATTTGCGCGTCTCCGTGGCCGTCCATGGACACCGTGTGATTCCACTGATAAATGTCCCCATAGTAATTGCCCGTTTGATTCGCCATGGTGCTTACCCCCGGTCCATTGACGATGACCTCGGCTCACCAACCTCCGCATTTTCGAGCGTCGTAAAGCTTCCTGAAATATAAATTTTTCAACATGATTACCGGCCGATGCGATGCATCGAAGGAACGCGCGCGGATTCGCCTCGAGAGAAATCACTTCTGCCAATTATTTTTTTTCGTATCAATCGGGTAATACATTTTACGGTACACCGATCATGGGGCGAAATTACGGTCACAGAACTGTCAAATCACAAAGAATTACAGAGTAGAAATGTTTACATAAGACAACATTAATGGTGTGTTGGTTAAATGCTTGTAGATTAAAGTATTGAAAATTTATTTCCTTAATAAAGCTGTTCTGTGAGTATCCTTGTCGAAAATAACGATTCACACTAGCACAGATAGAAGTTGAAGAAAATTTTCATCAATTAATAATTAATACTTCCGAATAAAATTTAAAATGAATTGCAAGTTACGGTCCGTGATCATTGTAGTTAAAAAATATTTAGTTACTAACTTTATATAGAATTTTCTCTTTTCAAATGTAGTTGGAGCAGGGTTCAAAATATTCCAACAATAAAGTATGAACAATTACACAGACAAACGTAAAGTACAAAGAAAATTCTGTTAAGTACTAAATAATAAATAAACTTATTTACTTCTCTATTCATGTGTTTATATATTTTTATTTTTATATATATTTATTTATATATATATTTGATTTTTAAAGAATGTAAAAAATATCTGAAAGTATGTACACACAAATGGTTTATTCCCTGCGAATGTGAACGACCCAAAGTGTTTGTAAAATGACTCCTACGAATACATTTCATTGGAGTAATCTTAATAATTACTATTCCGATTGCAATTTTTTACTAATTGCAATTAACTGTTATTTATGATCATTTAGATCAAAATATTTTTCAACTGTAATTAGAGCACTTGACAAATTGATAAATTACAATTTTAATTGATTTTGCTCAATCTGCTACGAATGCATGGGAAACTCGATGCAATTAATATTAAACGGTTTCGTTACGAGTCACGAGGCCTGGCAATATCAATTAGATTACCATTGAATACATTAGTTTAATAAATTAAAGTTCGATAGTTTATTTTAAAGTATTATAGGTGGAGAATTTTAAATCGCTGCATTATAGTTCAGAAATAAAAACATTAGTAGTATTTTACAGAAGATGGCTAAGACTTGAGTCAATTTTACTTTTCATTCATATTAATCTATTCTTCTTCCATGATCCTTATTTTGAAATCTCCATTATTGGACATTTTTACAACGAAATTCCGCAATTCAACTGGCCATAGTAAAAATAAATTTGATTTAAAATGGGTCAACCGCAGTAGAACGTCGACAATCCGAACTAATAGGAAGATAAATCTGTTCTGACAAGCGGCTTTTCAGATAATTGGTTTAGGAAAACCACAGTTGTATATATGTCATAATACAATCTTCAAAAGTGGATATTTATTACATGAAGGTTCACATAGTAGCACTAATAAATATTTGTACGCAGGGCCGTTCCTGGCGGAGGTGCAGAAGGTGACCCCACACCAGGGCGGCCAAACTAAGGGGCGACCGCAAATCGTTTATTATATGTGTGGGATTGGAAAGGTTACGTGATTAAATTAGCAAGTGTAATTAAAATTAATATGTATATTTGATGTAACACAGTATATGTATACATATAGTTCTACGCCTCCGACTTGTGTCACGTTCGGAACCACTCTGCTGCTTACCTCGCCTCTCAACGGCGACCACCCTAACTTTTTCCTACCCTATCCGCCAGGAAAAACTAAACAAAACGTTCATTCAGTCCCATTGAGTCCCATCTCTGGGCTATGTCACTCTGCGGCGCACAGTGGTTGGAATTGAAAAATCCAGTGACATTTTGATATAACTTTTGAACCGTAGGGGATATTGATACGAGGTTTGGACTGTGTAATTTAACAATACTAAACTATTCAAAGAAAGCTATTCAATTCAATAAATAGCAGTAGAAACGATAGTTTTCCTTATTGAAATATAGTAATTACAGCTAATCATCGATAAATGTTCGAAGGCTCCTCGGCACTGAACATTAAATATTTCATAAACTAATGGCCATATGCGGCTGAACAAATATCATTGGCTTCAGAAGTCTAAGCTCTATCACTGTGCTAAACCTCATTAATAGACTGCGAATTATATACACTCATAGGGTATACGACTATGTGAAATATGATAAATGGTAACGTTAACGTCAGACCTAATACATTTGCTGTCCTATTCTTGTAACAACAATATCCTTCAAAAATAAAATAAAATACAGTCTTCACATCTGTCTTTACAAATCACTTCGAAAAAGGTTATTTTGCAGAAACTCATTAAAAAGTCAGCGTTACACCCAGGAACCTCTACTTGTCAATGCCGTAGAGCCTTCAAACACTCATCGATATCTCACTGTATTGAGAAAAGTTAGTTATTCATTGAAAAAAGTAATTATTGTTGCTAATGTACGTTGACTGGCACAGTAAAAAAGAAAAGCAGTAGTTCCTCGTCCGCTTATCAAGCATGCAAGTCGCAAGTACGTACAAATGTTTCTTTCCCTCAATCTCCGTAGTCGAAAGTTCCGCATTATTCATCCATCATCTCCGCCACGTAAGCGCAAAGCTCATATTTTTCCGCGGTATTCGTCCTTCATTCATATTCATACAACGGCGAGCTACAATTGACAGGCAACTTTTCAAGAAACATGTTAATGTTACGTGTACGTACGTGTATGTATACATTCGAAACGAATTACCGAATGCAAATTCCCCGTGTGTATATTACAGGAGGATCCAGAGGATCGCAAACAGGAGAAACGTTTAATGGGGAGACGTCAGAGGAAAATAATGCAATTCACAAAAGATAAGAGGGGATCCTCTCTCGTACATAAGTTAAACGCTATGGACAAACGGCTCTCCAGGCTAAAACTTCTGAATTGTACTGGTACAATACTTCAAGTATTGCGTCTCCTCGTGTTTTCGTTGCATCAACAGGGGGTAATCCATCAACATTATGTAGAATATGGACGACAGCCATATTGAACGTAATGTGGATTATACGGAATTTTATTGTTCGAACGAATGTAAAGTAGCTTTGCACGAGAAGTCGAGAGGTTATCTTTTTTGTAAATTCGATATATTGGTCATTGGATAATAACATCTTCAAGTTTGTGAAAATGTTGGTAAATTACCGTATTATTTGATTTAGTCATTGTGTAGTAACACATTGAGATTCATAAATAGACTGCGGAAGTTTATGCAAATTCACATACTGGAATGTTAATGTATAAAAATTAGAAGTGGATAGAACTTTAAATCCTGGAGTAACGACTTTATTACGGTAATAATAATACAGTAAATCATCGATGAGTGTTCGAAGGCTCCTCGGCACTGACAAGGAGATGTCCCCAGATGTAACGTTGACTTTTTAATGAGGTTTAACACAGCTTGGAATTCTGAAGCCAGTGATATTTGTTTCAGTCGCATGTGGCCATTAGTTTATGAAATATTTAACGTTCAGTGCCGAGGAGCCTTCGAAGACTCATCAAGATTTTACTGTAACTAAATGTTATTAAATTCTATTGAAACCTTTATGTTAATACGTTTTGCAATTTAGAAAATGGTATAAGCGTATAAACATCCGCAGTCTATTCACAATGATACCTACTGACTTGTTTTTAACACGTTTGTGGCTGAGTGGGTACTATACACTGTGACACAGCTCTGTCTAACTCAAATATCTTCATTATTTCACGTGATAGGAGATAAGATTATTTACAAAAGTTGTATGGGTACAAGAAAGATATAACTGGTGGTAATAGTTTCTTCACAGGTGGAGGGGCAGAGGAGATCTGGTGATCAGGTTTGTTTTGTTAAATGGAATGTCAAATTTGTATGGACAAATTCGATAGAATAACAAATTCCGAGTGTAAAATTACTAAGGTACGTTTATTCTAAATCACACCATTTCTGAGCGTTAGATACGGCTACTTGGGTTGTTTCATACAATTTTGTTTTCTCTCTTCGATGCAAACTACACCGCTTTATTACATTGCTTATTTTATTTGGCCCACGCATCCTCTCAAAGTTGACCAACATTTTTTAACATTCGCTTGCTGCGCTTCATCTTTAAAAAAAAAGGAACAAACTACATGAAAATAATTTTTGAATTCCCGATTTAAAAACTAGAAACTTCAGGCTACAAAATGATCGTATACAATATTTTTTATAACTATTTTTCGCGGAGATATAGTCATTTGAAAATGACCCATATTTTCGGCAAATTTTAGTGGTCCCTTAATTTTGACGCCCAGTGTATATAAATACACGATAATTACCAAGCATGACAATTATCATTTTCTAGCGCACCTCAAACATAACTTACGTTTTTGTTAATTTTCTAGCACCAAGATCAGGACGTCAGATCTGAGGTTATTTATGTATGAACAATAAACATACAAGATTCTTGACACTTCCATTTACTGCTTCTTATATGCACATTTTTGTTTAATGTCACATAGTAGCGAGATGCATTATTTTTATGCTTATATGTATATATTTAATTCACATTGATAAAACTATAAAATCAGAATCGAGTCAGTAAAGTCTTTGAGATTCGACCTTGGTATTAAATGGTTAACAATGATTTTTGCCGTACTGTAATAGCTAAAATGTACATTTTACGATAAAAAAGTTCATTTCGACAACGAAACGGTTATATAGTACTTTCTACTTAAAATATTCGTAAGTAGACTGCGGATTGGGTGTATTTATAGAGTATCCAAATGAGTGAAACAAAATAAAATATGACTTCCATATTGTTGAATGTTTTGAGCTACTACCAGTCTTTTACTTTAATTCCAATCTATAAAATCTTTCAATAGGGGAATTAAAAGTCTGAGTACTTCCTTGCTTTATTAACGTCTACAAAATAACAATTTGTTTATCGTTAAAGT